CAATATGAAACCCATCTAGAAACGAAGTATTTTTACCACATAGTCATCCACTTTCGCTCAGAGGGTTAGCAGCACTTTTTTGAAACCCTTTTTGTTCTACTTTCTTTACGATCACTATAGGAATCAAATATTTCTTTGGAGAACTTACAACTATTCAGAGACAAAGACCAAAATATTATGATATTTTAGATAAAAATTATATATAGGGTATAAACGTAATGATTTGATATACAAATACATAGTGAAACGATTATTATCATCAAGCTCATTAACCTGACTTCTCACTAGTCACCTATTTTTGTGTGATAAGAGCACCTGAAACCCACTGTCTTAGCAAATTTCTAGAATTCAATGCACTATTATATTAACCACAGGCATCATGCTGTGAGCTGTGATTGCTATTCGGATTATAAATAAGAAGGCAAATGAAAATTAATTCCACTTAGTTTAGAATGAAATGAGTACATTTACAAAGAATTTCCAGGAGTCAAAACTATGGTTTCTGCGAAGGCTCAAGTCACACAGGGGGAGAGGCAGGTCCCCCAGGGCAGAGGCCATTTATCACCTGCTCTTTCCTTATTCATGCGAGCTAGTCAGGAGCTGAGTGTCCAGAGGAATTAATCAATAACTACTTTGAGCCAATGTATATTAGGAAAATTCCAATACTGTAACAGAATAGCTCATATTTCTCTGCGCAGTCCCTGTGTTGACAGCTTGTTACTCATTAAATGTGTGAAGTTAGATACACAATGCTTTGCTTTACAGTACGATATTAGCGCCATCGAGGTCATTACAAAAATCGATGGGGAAATGGAGCTGAAATGTACCGAATTCTCTATCAGTCTGTAGGGATTCCCGTTGCTACTCTCACTTTGCACAGGGTATTTGAAAATTGGGAGAAAAAAATCCTAATTTCTAAAGCCTCCTGAGAGAAGCTGTTGTCTCTGAAACAACACTTTCATAAAACGATTACGGTTTATGGAGTTTAATAGCCATGACTGAAGAAACACTGTGACCCAGCAGATGACAACTACCCTGCGGCCAGCCACACCACCTACTGTCTTGTTCTGTTTTGTTTCCAAGTGGACCTTGCTGAGCTCACTTTATGGCGGATGTCAGTGCTGACCCTGTGGGGAGAGCCCCTCCACCAGGTCCCCCGCCTCCCTCTTCCCATGCTCCCTGTAAATCACTTCCTCACACAGTCCTTCCCGATTTACTAGTTCCTGGAAGGAGAAGCAGGAGTAATTTAGAGCTGCAGGGCGGAGGGTAGGAACCAGGGTTTCCGCAGCGCTGCCTCCGTTGAATAATGTGCTAACTGCCTCGCATAAGTCACCTGATGTAGTTCCCTCGCAGAGAGGACCTGGTGGGCGGCTCACCTCCCCACACCTGACTCACACTGACGGGGCTTTTCAATCTCATTCAACCTTCAGGTCGACCCTCTAAAGACAAAACGAAGTGACGCACTTTACAAACTGAAGCTTAGAGAGGTGACACAACTTGCCCAAAGTCACATAACCAGTAAATGTTAAAGGTGGGATCGAAACACAGACATGTAACCATTACGGCCCGGGTCCCCCCGTGTTCTTGATGACACACGTCCATCAGAAAGAGCACCGTTTTCAAGCTTGCAACTGTACTTGTTTATGTATAACGTACACTTTAGTATTAAGGCATATCTTACACACACATAAGGGAACATCAAAAGAGAAATTTAGAAAGGACGAATACCACTGACATCTCTCCATTCCTTTCTGCGTCTAGTGTGTTGATTTGCCTACTGGAGGGTGTGTCTGCCCTGACCTGAGACACTACACAGCCAGGCTTTTAACCCTACGCTCCCCAAGAGAAATTTGCAATTTAAAGTTCTGTAATAGCTACATACATTAAAAAAAAAAAAAAGTAAGAAGAAACAGGTGCTATTCATTTTAATAAGATGCGTGTTTTACACTCTTTCTTTTATACTAAGTTTGGACTCGCCACATTTCAAGTGTTCAACGGCCACATGGGCAGGCGGCTACCACAGTGGACAGCGCGGTTTTAGCTTCTGCTCAGGTCTTCTACTATGTCATGACGTGTCAAAGAATATTTTCAGAACAGCTTTGTCATCTAAAACCAGGCCAAGTAAAGAATTCTACAGTAATATGGAACTATATAATGATAGCGCAGAATGTACTTTCAGATTTTGAGTTGAGAGAACTATTGAAGTATGGAATTAATTTTATAAAACCCAAAATGTGGAAATCATGAAATTTTAGACTACAGAACAACACGTGCTCCACGGTATTATCGATTAGTGACTATTAAGGCTCCTTGAGTGTAGTGGCAGTAAATGCTGTTTGCTGGGAGGATCTATTGGAAAATTGGAAGAACAAAGTTCTGAATTTCATTAGTCTCAGTCTATGACACCAATATGCAGCAGAGATGAGATTCTGAGGTTTGATTAAGGTAGGCGAGGTCTGATAAGGCAACACGCCCAGCTCAGATGGAAGCATGATTCCCAAGGGATTTGAAAGCATCGCCAAGGATTAGGTTTTTGCATATTGTATATGGCAAATACTAACAATTAGTTGTAGCAACTGAAATCAAAACCACGTCAAAAGGGGAGCCGGAAGGGGATGGAGCAAGGCACAGAGAGCATGCTTTGGCCCAAGGCGGACTCGACCCTGCTCAGTCTCCTGAGTTGGCATAAGTGATTTAACCTCGCTGAGCCTGTATGCGACGGGCTGGCAGGTTTAGACTTGAATTTTGCAATATTTCAGGGCACGCTGGGAGGGGACAGAGAATTTAAGTGAAGTCCACGGAGCGGTACCAAGCACAGGGGAAACACTCAGCAACCGGAGAGGATGGCGACTGGACCTCCTTGCTGATACCCGCTGCTGGATTCCAGGGGTGATGGGAATGTTTGCTATCCTCACTGGCGCACACGAGCATATGATTCTGAGACTATGGTGTTGTGCTTAAACCGATGCTGTAACTGTGCACGTGATGGGCTGAATTGTGGCCCCTTCCAGAACAATCATATGTTGATGTCCTAACCCCCAGCACCTTAGGATGTGGACATTTGGAGACAGGACCTTTATAAAGGCATTAAGTTAAAATGAGGCCTTGTGTGGGCCGTGATCCCATCTGCCTGGTGTCCTTATAAGAAAAGGAGTTGGTATACTCAAAGACAGCAGGGATGCACGCATGCTGGGGACACGGAGCACGGGCCTGTCTGCAAGTCCAGGAGAGGCCTCAAGAGAAACCTGCCAACACCTCGAACTTGGACTTCCAACCTCTGTAACGGTGAGAAGGAAAATTTCTGTTGCTTGAGCCACCCAGCCTGTGGTATTCTGTCATGGCAACACTAGCAAACTAATGCAGCACAGAACGCCATCTCCTCCAGCGACTCCACAGGTGGCTGCTTGGATTTACAATGGGGCAGCTGAGCGCGCTGTGGAGGAAGACACACTCAGTCACATGGACCTGGGGTCCAAGGTGGGCTCCTTCGCTTGTAAGTTGCACGATCTTAGGCAAATTACCTAATTTTTGTGAACCACCATATTCTTTCTCTTTAAAAGGACTGATGTCTATTTCACAGGTCATGAGAGTTAAATGAACATTCAGAATTCCTAGCAGTGGTTTCTATGTTTGCCAACGTGTGCAATTCTCACACGCTCTCTACTCATTCAGATGAGTCGTAGCATTGAAAAGCTCACTTCAAAGAAGGTAGGTTGGCCGTCGTACAAGATGTTTCTTTAAGTGAATCTCCCCTGACATTTAAAGGGCTTATCATTTATAATGTACCAACCTCTAAATTGGTCTTCTGCCTCTAGGCTCACATCTGTCAATCTAGCCTCCATACCATTATATAATTAACTTCTCTGAATCCAAGTCTAAACACGTCATTCCCTTGCATGTACCTCTTCAATGGCTCCCTATTGCTGCCCCAGGTCCCTGAGTAGGGAATATGTGGTCACCTCTACTGCCACCTCCTTTCTCTCCTGTGCATCACACCCTCGATTTTTACAAAATGACATGGAGTTCTCAAACAACACTTTCTGTTCCGTGCACTAAGCTTCTGACAAAAATGATCAGACTTTAACGACTACTTAATTGTTACAAGTTATGTAAGAAAAAAATTGGCACGAGCAAAAGGAAAATAAAATTTTATATACCTGTCAACCTCAGTATCAGAGTTAACACGTAAGAGTATCTGTTCATAGCTTTCCTGGCACTGTCTGAGTTCAAAAGTGAATTTATGTTTCATCAAAATAACCACATAGTCCATCTTTTTTTATGCTTCACAAAGCCAATATTTTATTTGGTGCACGTCTATCTTTGTCCTCCACTAAGTAAACATAAAGCAAGAGGTTTATACGCTTTGGGGAAAACATTCTGAACAGAATAAACACTGATTTCATATACCAATGAACATCAAGGTATATTATCAGAAGAGGCAACTATAAAACTCTGTTTTGGCTCTGATAACACTTATTTACTTTCGGGTAAATACTTATTTAGAAAACGAATGTGAACTAACTCGTTATTCACAAATAGGAATTTGAAGTTGTTAGCAAACAGGAGCACTGCTGCTATGAAATGGAAATGTTCTATGAATACGAAACAAAACGTGTGGCGTTTTCTTCCCTAGGTACTGACAGTGTAGGGTATTTACACATTTCTGATGTGATTTTGGACCTCAGGGCCTGAATAACCACGGACTTTTAGACATTGCTCCCCCTCAGGATATACTGAACACTTAAGTTAAATTGTAAGAGTAAATAAAATTTCAATTATGATTTCTCAAGCCTCATTAAAAGTACAGTAAATTTGGGAGGAATAATACATGCTACTTAGTAGAACAGACAGTGTTTCTTCAATGAAAGAAAACAAACAACAAAGCAGACCAAGTCAAATTACTCTCACTGGCTGATAGTCATCATCCTTTTCCCAGAGTACATAAATATGGAAGGGCACAAGCATGTGTTATGGGTCTGGTCATACAGATGGACTCTTACCTTTGGGCTGGGGTGCTATAGCTGTTATCATAGGAATCATAACTCTGTTCATCATAAGCAGTGCCGTATCCATCATCATAGTCCTAAAATATAACAAAAGAACAAAAATGTTCAGAGAAGTTTGTAGGAAGAAAGAAGCATTCTTCTTGTAGTGAATCTTTATTAATTCAGCTAGCACTTAACTACGTATCTAATTATAGTGTAAATAAAAATATAAGAGTGACATCAGTGAAAATGACAGAGTAAGGACCTCCAAAAGCAAAAAGCAAAGAGAAACTAGCAAAAACTGTCAGAATCAACATTTTTACAGTTCTGGAAATTAACCAAAGGCTTGCAGAGATCTTGAGAGCATTTATTTTCGTTTTTAAATGGCAGAATCTTGGTATGAACAGCGAGCTTTGTGATGTTTTAACTTGTTCTATTCTCACCCCTCACTCCCAGCTCTGCAGGAACCTTGAAATCCAACACCCACAATCACTATGGAAACCAGCAGGCTGGAGGCCACTGGAGGGGACAGAGCAGGGTGGAGCCATATCCAAACCCCACTCCCAGAGGGATGTCTCTATTTGACCTGACTTGGAGCCAATCCCGTGCAAAACCCCTTTTCTTTAGGGGTATTTGGAAAAAATAATCAGAGGCAATTATTTAAGATTTCTGCTACCTGAGGTGGTGGGATAAAAACTAAAGCAAACAACAGGCTAATAAGAAAAAGTAGGGGAATGAGATGTCCATATGGGCTCTGAAAAGTTCTGACACATTCCTGGGAATCTAAAAGAGCATCATGCCCAGTGCCATGTACATGCCCAGGAGACCTGAGAAGGCCCTGAGCGCTTTCCTTGGGCTGATCTTGAGGTCCAGTGCAAGAAGAAAAGGCAAAGCTAAAGCAGAGTTAGTTGTAGTTGACTGGTTGAGGGTTAAAGACACCCTCCAATAGGCACCCATAGGCTCTAGGCAAAGACTAGGGACTTGGTTTCAGGGCATTCAATAAAAGCTCTGTCCAATCATTAGCTGATGATGAAAGTAACAGAGAGGAGGCACCTAAGTGGCAACACATGATAAATATAGACTTTATAAAATTAGTTTGAGAAACTCACTGACCAAAATGAAAACAAAACAGATACCCTGGGCAAAAAGGGTAATCCAATTTTCACAGTTGGCACACTATATTAAAGGTCCTGCTTTAAATAGCCAACAACAAAAAAGTGACATGCAAAGAAACATGGAAGTTTGATCCATACACAAGGAAAAAAGGAATCAACAGCAACTCTCCCTGAGGAAGCTGAGACATGGGACTTACTAGGCAAAGACTTTAAATCAGTTATTTGAAATACAGTCAAGGACTCAAGGATAACCTGTGTCTAAAGAGCTAATGAAAAGTATGAGAACAATGTCTCACCAAATAGACAATATTAATAGAGACACAGAAAATAATTTTTTTAAAAGCAATTCTTGAATTTCGAAGTTAAACATTAAAAATTCATCAGTTTCAATAGCAGATATAACTAGACAGAAGAAAGAATCGGTGATCCTGAAGACAGGAAAATTGATTATCCAGTCTGAGGATGAGGGGGAGAAAAATGAAGAAAATGAACAGGGTTTCACAGACTTGTGGGACACCATTAAACATGAACATATATGTAATGAGACACCCACCCACAAGGAGGGGAGAAAAAGAAGCAGAAAGACTGTTTTAAGAAATAATGGCTAAAAACTTCCCAAATTTGATGAAAAACCTTAATCTACACATCCAAGAAGGTCCACAAATTCCAAACAGGATAAACTCAAAGATGCCCACACCTAGATACAACATCTGCAAAATGTTGAAAGACAAAGAGAAAAATCAGCAAGAGAGAAACCACTTATCACGTGCAAGAGACGCTCAATAAGACTAACAGCTGATTTCTCAAGGGAGACCATGGAGGCCAGAAGGCAAGGGGATTCCACATTCTGAGGACCAAATTAAAAAGACTGTCAACTAAGAATTCTATAGCCAGCAAACTATCCTTCAAAAATGGAAAAATTACAATATTCCCTGGTAAACAAAAATGGAGAGAATACATCAATAGGAGATATATGCTACAAGAAATACTAAAAGGAGTTCTTCAGGTAAAGTAAAAGGTCATTAGACAATAACTTGAACCCACATGAAAAAATAATGAACACTGATACAGGTAGCTACTTAGGTAAATATAAAAGATAGTATAAATGTATTTTCTGTTGTAACTCTGTTTTTCCCTATTTTATTTAAAAGAAAACTGCATGAAGAAATAATTATAAATCTGTGTTGATGGGCACACAATGTATAAGCTGTAATTTGTATAACAGTAACAACACAAAGGTAGGGAGAGGGTGAGAATGGACCTATAGAGAAGCAAAAATTTTGTGTACCATTGACATTAACTTGGTATAAATCTGAAAAAGACTAATATAAGCTAATATGTAAATTGCAATCTCCAGGGTGGGCTAAGAGAATATTTTAAAATATAAAGAAGGTAGAAAAAGAAATGACAATGGAATTAAAGTGGTCCAGTGAAAAATATCTGTTTAACATACAAAGAGGTAGTAGGGTATAAAAAAGACATAAGACATACAGAAAACAAATAGCAAAATGACGGATGTAAAATCCTACCTTATCAGTAAGTATTTACACTAAACATAAATGGATTAAACATACCAATTAAAAGGCAGAAATTAGCATCATGTTAAAAAGCATGATCCAACCATATGTATCTATACAAGACACACTTTAGATTCAAAGACAAAAAAAATACGTTGAAAGAAAAAGGATGGAAGAAGATATAGCATGGAAATACCAATCAAAAGAGAACTACCAGAGCTATGCCAATATCAGACAAAATAGACTTTAAGACAAAAATTGATACTAGAAAAAACAGAACATTTATTTATAGTAATAAAAGGGCCAATGTGTCAAGAAGATGAAATCATTATATAAATGTATGCATACATAGAAACATCTATAACAGAGCTCAACATGCATGAAGCAAAAACTGACAAAACTAAAGGGAGAAATAGACAATCTGAAAATAATATTTGGGGACTTCAATGTCACACCTTCAATAATAAAGAAACAACCAAAAACATAAAAAAATAGAAGATTTGAACAACAATACTAACCAATTACACCTAAGAGAGACCTAGTTACAAAATACTCTACCCAGTAAGAGTAAGAATACATATTCTTCTCAATTACACATGAAACATTCTCTAGGATAGACCATATGTCTTCCCAACTCAAAATTTTACTCCAAAGCTAAGTGATCAAAACAGTGAGGTACTAGCAGAGACATACAGATCTAGGAAACCAGAATTGAGAATACAGAACTAAACCCTTACATTCATGGGCAATTGATTTTCAACAAGCGTGGCAAGACAATTCAGTGGTAGAGAGAATAATCTTTTAGTATATGTTGTGGTAATAAATGGATATCTACATGCAAAGGAGTGAAGCTGGACTGTTACCTTACCATATAGAGAAATTCATACAAAATGCACCATACATCTAAGTATACAAGCTAAAATTACAACACTCTTAAGAAGAAAACATAGGAGTAAGTCTTCGTGATCTTGCATTAGTCATCAGTTTCTTAGATATGCCCACAAAAACACAAACCACCAAAGAAACTATAAATGGATTTCATCAAAATTTAAAACTTATCCATCAAAGGACACTAGTAGGAGAGTTAAAAGACAATCCACAGGATGGGGGTAAATATTTGCAAATCACATATCTGCTAATGGCCTAAAATAGTATTCAGGACTTTTAAAGAACTCTTACAACTCAGCAATAAAAAGACAACCCAACAAGAGCAAAAGCCATCCTCTACTTCTACTGGGGGCAGACTTCAAACGGAGGACACCCTGCAGCTATGCTAACAAGCACACTACAGTTATGTTAAAAGTATTGTAGAATTCAAAAAAGCCCAGAGAAATAATCGCTCTCTAAGATCAAATTAGGTATGTTACTCAATGACATTTACACCCATGAAAGTGTGACTCCTGCCCAAAAACTGATTTCTAAGTTTCTGGGGTTAGTCGATTACATAGGGACTTTGGACGTATTGGTATTTAATATTTAAATAAGCTTAGAAATACCATCTAAGTGTCTTGGAACATCAGAACTATCGATGCCAATCAATTTAACGATTACCGCCAGACGTCTTGAAGTAGAGAAATGTGGTTAAGGGGTAAGAGGAAAGAACTAGGGTTAGATAGGCTTCCATAATTTATTACCGGTGATTTAGGCAGGTAATGCACACATCAGAATCTGCTGCTTTGCCTGTAAAATGTGAATCCCTATAAGTATCCTGAAGGGATGAGAAACGACATATACATATGTGTGTATATTTCCCAGCAAAATGGCTGACATTAAGAACTTTATAAAGAATAGCTTATATATATTATTAACTATTACAGTCAAACATTACCCACACAGTCCTTCCTCCTAGATTTCTAAAATGATACACAATGAAGAACACCAAAAGCCATCACATGCAAAGGCGTGAGCCAAGTGACTAGTGTTAACATAATTACCGTCTTTTCTTAAAAAGTACCAATTAAATATTAGAGCACAATTTATTTGACTAGGAGCACACAAATACCTAAATAGGAAGTTATATTATAATGCTTTCAGTTTTGTAAAACATATTAATATGAAGGGATGGTACTGTGTTTGTAGGATTAAAGCTTATACAATTTATGAATGACAACCTAATTTTTTTACATGATTTTTCACAGAGAAGAAACTGAATATTTGTTGCAGAGCTACGTATCCAGTACTTTGGACACAAGATAGAACAGAATATAAAATGCATACTCATTAAATAGGGTCAGAGGAAGAATAAAAGTCAAGAATACAGTTAGAACACAATATGCAAGGCCCTGGGTTTCTCACTGTTAACTAAAGGTGACAACTAATTCAGCCACGATCTTCCAGTGACCAATACAAGGTCAGAGAAAGCTGTCAGACAAGGTACAAAGGAAAAAGCAACCACATAAAATTGAGATGATTTTCGTTATAAGTAGCATAATGCAGATATCACTAATAATTCTAGAAAATTAAGAA